GCATGTTTACTAGGGCTCTTCAAGGACGCCAGGGAATGGGAGTTCGGCTCGTTCACATGCATGCGGTGTTGGCTGACGCTATCCCTTGCAGGAACTGCGTCATCCTAATCAACGGACCAGCAGGCGCCAATACAGCAACAGCGCGTGTGAACAGGATGGTTTTACCATTGAACCATTGAAGGAGTCTAGGCCATAGCTTTAAATCAACGTTTTTTGCGGGTCATCCTTACAAGGCCCCAAATGCCTTTATAAATCCGCATATACCCCTATACGCCCTTGTATGCCCCTATTACAAGATCTGCATCCTAAACCCTACACCCTACGCCCAAAATGCTAAACGTAATTCCTAAACGCCTAATCCTAAACCCTAAACCTTAAATCCTATACCCCAAATTCCGAACCCCAACTCCTAAACCCTACATCCTAAATCCTAAGCCCCAAATCCTGAACCCCAAATCCCACACCCTAAATCATAAACCCTAAATCCTAAACGCCAAATCCTAATCCCTTAAACCCTAAACCAGAAGCTGCCCCTACGTAGTAGTGTCCATTTTCTTTTCCATTATCCCTATAGAACCCCTATAGAACCCCTATATAACTGCCATAGAACCCTTATAGGACTCCTATATAACCCCTATATCACTCCTATATTACCCCTGTAGGAAACCCTTTGGCCAGTGAGTCAGGCCCAGTCTGCGCCACGGAGGATGAAGGCTGCGTTCCTGCTTGCCGGGACCTTGGACTCCAGATCGATAGGTAGGGACTATATAGGGAGTATATAGGGAGTATATCGGGAGTGTATAGGGATTATATAGGGAGTATATAGGGATTGTATAGGGAGTAGATAGGGATTATATGGGGATAGGGTCATTGGGTCATTGGATTTAGGGTGGTTTGGGGATAAGGTTTTAGACAGGGTTTAGTGTTTCGGGTTTATGAGTTTAGGACGTTATGGCAATTAAACGGCTCTCACTTTACAGGTTATTCGCTTGAAATTCTGAATCTTCTCTAAAGTTGCTAGTCATTAAAACCCAGTAAGAGATATTAAGCTATGTTTTCAAGAGCAAGCCAGGATGGGACCCTTCCCGTTAGGTCACATCTATTCAATGCAGAGCTTTACAGACAAGGTGGACCCAAACCACATGCGTCCTGAAGAAACCCAGGTTTCACTTCAGTGTTTAATTTGCTTTTCCGTTTAACTCTCCATAAGGTCAAGTGAAAGTGGGCTTCATTCGGATGCTCTGCGAACCTGAAAACGTAGGTAGATTCCTATGGTCTACAGTCTACAGTAGTCCCCACCATCCCTATTCCTTGTTCGTAGGCCTTCGCCTCACTGAGGTGAAGGTGCACGTGCAGGAAGCGCGGCCGATTGCAGAAACTGGGCTGCTGTTAAGGAATTTAATCTAAGTGACTAGTTTGGGGAAATCCTATTATTCACTATATATGCCCATTATGGCAGCTTAATTTAAGCTGCTTAACCCTAAACCCAACACAATCCCTATAGCCCAACATAAACCTTGTAGCCCTATATACCCTATATACCCTATTATACCCTAATATATACCCATGATGGTAACTTACTGTAAGTTCCTTAATAGCAACCCAGGAAACCTGCCTCGTGGGACGCAGTGCCGGGGAACCTACGTTGTCATCGAGAACGTGGCCACTCAGTGCTTCGCAACGCTCCGGGCTGAGTACTACAGTCCCCTTTAAGTAGATAGAATATGGGGTATATGGGGATCTTATGATAATATACCCAAAGCCATATTCTATCTACTTCAGGGGAATTCTATACTGTTACTCAGGATGGGAAGAATCTTGCACCACCGGGGGGCCCTTTGTTTACCGTAATTGGGTCTAGGGTTTAGGGAATTCCTAAACCCTAAACTCTACGGGAGCTTCGGGTGGTGCTGGATTTCCTCCTTCAACAACAGTGAACTTGGACGTCATTAGCAGCAGTCGTGGAGGTAGTGGCGGTGCAGTGTCACTGCGCAGGTAGCATTTTCAAGGGCAAGGGGCCTCCGAGAGGATGTCAGCAAGAGTCATATCAGTGGTGCCTGCAAGAGTTAACAGGTGTTTGGCCGCTGTTTGAGTCATCTTTCATGATCATATGATCGTTCCATTGTATGATTATATCATGCAGCTGTCATGTTAGTATACGTTTCTTCACATGAGCAATAGTCTAAGCTCCTAGTAGACCCCTTAATAACCCCTATAATAGTGCCCTATATAATCGGTTTCCAATCCTCCTGAAGCTTCCCCAAACCCAAAGCTTAAACCCTGAATCCAGAATTCCTAAACCCGAAGCCCTGAACCCCTCAATCCTGAACTGTAAGCCCTAGCTAGGCTTGGGGAGAACGACGAGGAGGTCGAGTGCGAGAACGGCTCCCCTTGCGGCGACCCAGAGAGGGAGTCGCCAAGCCGAACACGGTACCTATACATATTACTGTACATATGTATATATGTATGTATATATAAATGTATGTGTGTATATGCATGTTGGTCTCTACATATATATATATATATGTACACATGTGTGTATGTATATATATATATGTAGAGATATGTTATATATAGACTTATGTATATATGTCTATACATATTACATGTAGATCCATATTTCTTGTAAACACTAAGCCCTAGAGCACCTGCCTCGCAATTCAGCCGTCTGCGGTCGCCAACCAAGGAACCCATACCAGGGAGCCAGGCAGGGAACGCCCTTTTCTGGGTTGCTGTTAAGGAATTTATTTGAAGTTACTATATTGGGGAAACCCTTTTATTTATCATATATACCCATTATGGTAACTTAATTTAAGTCCCTTAACAGCAACCCAGTTTTTCGTTGCAAGCGTTTCTTCGGTTGCGTGGGAGACCTTCATGAAGAGTGCGTCAGAATGTGGGACGCTAAACGTCTGCGTTGATGACGCAGTCCTCTTGCGCTTGCGTGCCAGGTAGATCCCGAGAGGCATACTCAGTACTCTGCCGAGCTGGCGGGCTTTTTCGTGCGTGTGTGTGGTTCTGCAGTGTGTGTTGATATGCTACTTAACCGTTTACATGGGATCCTAAATGTCATGTATATACATGCAAGCACTGCATACACAAGAAACGCTAACTCTTCCTAATATTACACGACTTTCCAAACACGATCCTTTAACAAGGGTATATTATCCACTGGTACGGAATCTTTTCCATCCACTGTACGGGTCCCCATTTGGGATCTGTGCGACTGGGGATGGCCTTTCTGTGCATCTGCGCGCTTTTTTTTTTGTTTCGGGCATGGCTTTCCTTTTATGACTATGAGAGAGGCTCCTTTTTTCTATGCATATTTTTCCAAATAGCAACCTAAATCATCACGAGTGGAAAATCCCTCTTTAGACCTCATATATCCCTCAGGGTCCTGGGGCGCCCCAACTTCAGGAATTTCCATATCTTGGCAGTAGACCCTAGACCCTAAACCCTGAACAGCAGCTTTGCCAGGCTCCCGGGGGAAGAGCCTGACTGTCCGATGATTGGAGGTTCAGGGTGATTACGACGCAGTGATGAGGGTTATAGAGGTCAAATATAGAGGTATAGAGGGTTTAGGGTAACTGTAACCTACTTAGAACCTGTACTTATACCTCATTCAAACCTTTCTAGGGGACTAAGGGGGTTCCAATTGGGTCATAACAGCAGGTCTAGTTGGTCATAGGAATCCTGAATCGGGAAGTAAGGATGGGCAAGGGAGTCACGTGGGGGTTTTCGAGAAGCTCCTGTGTGAAGCTCCCAGATGAGTAGTATATTATTTGGGGATACTATGGTACCCATTATAGAGTAAGATTATATCCTCCTTTTGGGTGGGGTATAGTATTTTACAGAAGGAATATAATCTTACTGGGCTTAACCACCAAAAAAACGCTACTCAGATGTGAACAGAAGTTTCACTTGTACACCTTCCTGGGAGCTCTGCCACCGGCTGATAAAGTTCCGAAGCATGCGGGCTGATGTGAAGGCCTCTCATGGCACCCTTGCCAAACCCGTGCCCCCAAACCTTCATTGATTTCCAGGTTTCCACATTACACCCCCGATATAATCCCTATAATAATGCAGTAGTTTCCATTTTCTTTTCCATTATCCCCATATAACCCCAATATATACCCTAAACTCTATATATCCCCATTAGAGTAGTTTCCATTTTCTTTTCCATTATCCATTACCCCAATATAACCCCAAGAATTTGGAGCGTGGATGCCTTCGCAGCTCTCCGGTGGCTCAAAGGGCCATCTCGAGGAGGGGTGCCACCATGAAGTTTACAAAGAGGGCCGTAGGCCAGGGATTTGAAACAGCCTGTTCCTTGCTTTCATCTTGTATTAGGTAGGAGTTATGAAGCTAGGTTATTCTGGCTATTATTATCTAGCACCGTCCTGTCGTAGCATACCTGCGAAGACTTGGTAGAAATTAGGGTCGTGCGTTCTGTCCCTGGCAAGGTACTGGCAAGGCGAATTTTCCAGTGCAGTAGGACCTCAGCGGGAGGGTGGACGTGATTGTGAAGGGCTCAAAGACACAGGTAATTGGCGATTGCGCGTTTTTCCTATTGCGCACTTCCTGGACGAAGTTTCTCATTTGCCGGAAGCTTAGAGAACCTAGTTATATATATATATATAGAATTTCTAATTATTATAACCAGTATTTCAAGACTATTCATATTACCTTTATTAGTACCATGATTATTACTATGGCCAAAGTTGGGGATTCGGGGGGCTGCCAGTCATGTGATGAATGCCCCCAGGTCTGGTGGGAGCGTTCCTTGCCTGCAGAAGCAGGTATTGGCGCCTCTCAGGGGTTTTTCGCCCTATGCTGGAGTGTTTGCAGTTTGTTGCTGATGGAGCTGAGCTCAGGTATTTGATCCTGATCTTGCTCTTCGCGTTGCCCGGCACTGTACGTATCTACAGCCTGAAGCGACTGCAAGCACACGCTTTGCTGTACTGCGGCCCAGGTTCATATACCTGTCCGAGACGGATGCCATGCTGTGTCTCGTCAAAGATGAGCCATGCGACTTTTGGGACGCATTGAACCTCTCTGTCCATAGCATGTCGACCATTGGCTTTGGCTCCATCGTCCCGCACTCTGCGCTTGCAAACACTGCAGTTGCCATCGAGTTCTGGATTGCTGTTCTCATGGGTGCAGCAGCTGCTAACTTAATTTACGTTCCTAAATCCCTACATTCCCCCAGTTTCCATTTCATTTTCCATTTGATTCTCCATTGTAGGGGGGTAACTCAGCAACCCAGGCCGGGGGGCTGCTATTCTCTCGGGTCAGTACTGCCAGCAGCCGAGTGGCTTTCTCGGACGTAGCCTTGGTAACCAACATTCGGGGCGTCCCGACCGTCACGATGCTGGGTTCGGTCTAAGATTATAGTAACTCAAATTAAGTTCCTTAACCCTAAACCCTCAACCCCAAACCCTAAACCCTAAACTCTAAACCCCAAACCCTAGAAAACTGTATGAAACCTAGGATGCGGATCGTGAATGAACGGCCGTTCAGCTCTTTGTTCGACGTGACATGCCGGGTCAGCGCCTTGGTCAAGGACCCCAAGGCTCGGATGCTACATGTCATCTTAGGGTTTTCAGGGTATAGGGTTTAGGGTTTGGGGTTTTTGGTTTAGGGTTTAGGGTTTGGGGTTTTTGGTTTAGGGTTTAGGGTTTGGGGTTTTTGGTATAGGGTTTAGGGTTTGGGGTTTTTGGTTTAGGGTTTAGGGTTTGGGGGTTTTGGTTTAGGGTTTAGGGTTTGGGGTTTTTGGTTTAGGGTTTAGGGTTTGGGGTTTTTGGTGTAGGGTTTAGGGCTGAGGAAATAGGGTTGGGGGTAGGGTTTAGGGTTAGGGGTTTAGGGATGAAGGCTGGGGGATAAGGGTTGGAGGTAGGTTTAGGCTTGGGGGCTTAAGAAGGATTAGGGTTTTGGGTCGAGGCACTAACGGTTTAGGGATTAGGGTTTAGGGCTTTAGGACTTTCGGGCTTTAGGAATGTCATCATGCGTTATACTTCCCCGGACAGCCACAATTGAGGATGAGCTCGTTTGAGCTCGGTCGCTGCTCTCATAATTGGGGTCGCTACATCCCCCTTTCCGCCCCAAAACAAAGTTTAATTAGGGCTCCTTTAAGGCCCGTTTGGGCTGGAATACGGGACCCCATAACCTTAATCTATAAACCCTGAACCCTAAACCCCTGTAGTTTGCCAGGTAACCTCGCCCAGGACCTGCAAAGCGTGCTGCCACCTGAGAGCTTCCATAAAGAAGAGTTTCGGGTTTAGGGCGTCTACCTGCGCAGGGCTGTGTATCCATGCGCCGATGGCGCCACCCCACTTCCAGGGATCTGTGGGTGGCGGCACATCCTGCGCCCAGCGAACTTCGTGGATGTTGCCCAAGAAGCCATCGAAACTGGGCTTTCTTCAAAACCCCCATGCGCTGTGAGACATCACAGGCTACCACCCAAATTACTTCCTATTAGGGTTTAAGGCTACGCCCTCAATTCCTACCTCCAAAAGATCGGGAATTTAGGGTTTAGGATCCCCCTCCCTACCAGGACCCTCCTTGTACCCTTAATTGGAGATATATGGTCCCTAATAGTGGGTACTTAGGCCTTAATAGAGGGTAGGAGGACGGTCTGGGTATATATAGTGGTAATCGAAAAGAATATACTCTTTACGGTGTAGGGATGTCATCCCCCCAATTAAATGGAAACCGGGACTAGAAAAGGAGTTGATAGGGGGGGCCTATTTTACAGGGGTTCTAACGGTTTGGGGTCTATATTGGGGTAGCCATATTTCAGGAAACTACCAAATACTCTCCTAAAATTCGTCCTTACGTTACCCTAAACCCTAAACCCTAAACCCTAAAGCCTAAACCCTGAACCCTGAACCCTAAACCCTAAACCCTATTCAATTTGGGACCCTAATTTCGGAACCCGCCACCTGGAGGCTTTTTCGTAAGCAGTGAGCAGCGCACTGTAGGTGAAGGCATCCCGCCGAAGACCAAACTTGCTGAAATGTGACCAAAGAAGCGCAGCAGTCTGCCACCTCACTGGCCGCCCTAAACCCTAAACCCTAAACCCTAAACCCAATTTAGGGGTTAGGGGTTTAGGGGTTAGGGGTTTAGGTTTTAGGGGTTTAGGGTTGAGGCTTTTGGGATGAGGAGGGAATATATTATAGGAGCTATAGTCTGAACTCCTAGTATCCCCCTTAATACGCCCTATAATACTTCCCTATACAATCCCCTATATAGCCCCCTTTAAGGAGGTTAGACTATAGGTCTATTCCCTTATTCCCTTCTAACCACCACTAAGCCACTGATCCCCGCGGCCGCAGGCACTGATAGCTGCATTCAGCGTGACAGTCGTGGGATCCAGCGGCCTTTGCAGCAGGGCTGACAACACACCTAGGGCCTGTTGCCACTGCCCGCCCTTCTCGCATGCGCTCATGGCCGCATTGTAGGAGATGATGTTGGGCAGGCCGTCTGCAAGAGAGTACACGAGGAGTATGGCGCGCTCCCACTCCCCGGCCTTCTCACAGGCACTGATGGCAGCACTGTAGGTGACGCTGTTTGGCTCCAGATGGCCCTCGGCTGCTTTGATCAGAAGAGCAAAGGCCGCCTGCCATTGACCCACCTGGGCACAAGCGCTTATGGCCGCATTGAACGTGACGATCGTCGGGCACAGGCGAACCTGGCAGACCTCGCCCAGGAGCGCCAGGGCTCGGCCCACTTGGCTGGCCCTCTCACAGGCACTGATGGCTGCGTTGTACGTCACCACATCCCTCTTCTGGGAGGCCTGCATGAGCAAATGCAGAGCAATCTGCCACTGGAAACCCTTTTGACAGGCACTGATCAAAGCATTGTATGTGGAAGTGTCCGCCTCCACCTGCAAGGTTCCGAGGCCATGAAATAAAACCAGAGCACTTGCCCAGGCGTTCCCCTTCTCACATGCACTGATAGCAGCATTACATGTAACGCTATCTGGCTGCATTGCATGCGAGCAAGTGTCCGCAAGGATTTCCAGAGAGACTTGCCACCGCCCACCCTTCTCACCAGCGGTGATCAGTGAGTTGAGCGTGATGATGTTTGGCTGGAGCCTTGCATCAAGGACTGCCTGAAGCACCGAAACTGCCTGCTGCCATTCACCCGCCTCTGCACAGACAGAGATAGCCGCACTGAAGCTGATGATGCCGGGCTTAAGCTCTACCATGTTCACTGCAGTAAGCAGGCACAACGCCTGCTGCCAGCGTCCTCCCTCGCACGCGCTGATGGCCGAGTTGTACGTCACAATTGTTGGGCTCAACGTCGACTCTTGAACTTGCATGAGCAGGCCTAGAGCCTCCCTCCATTGCCTCGCCTTGCCACAGGCAGCAATGGCAGCGTTGAAGGTGATCAGCGTGCCTTGCCCTGCCTGGGTTGCTGTTAAGGAACTTAATTTAAGTTACCATAATGGGTATAAGGGCCTATTGATTGCTATAATTCAATAGGGTTTCCCCAATATAGTAGCTTCAATAAAGTTCCGTAACATCAACCCAGCTGCCTGTAGGGCCAAGGCGAACAAACACAATGCACGACCCCACTCTGAGCTCTTCTGACAGGCAGTGATGGCTGAGTTGAAGGAAAAGCTGTCTGGGCGCAACAGCTGCAAAGCCTGGGTTGCTGTTATGAAAATGAATTTGGGGTACTATATTGGGGAAATCCTTTTGAATACTATATATCCCCATCATGGTTACTTAATTTGAGTTCCTTAACAGCAACCCAGAAGCAAGCTGGTCAAGGAGAGCCAAAGCTTGCGGCCAGCCCTCTTCGCTGCCACAGGCGCTCATCGCGGAGTTGTACGAGATCAGTGTCGGGCTTAGCTGTGCCTTAGCCCACATTAGCCCAGGAAGAAAAAAGGATCCTTACCCCAAAAAGTACAAAGGATTCCTAACATTGATCCAGGTGCCTCACAAATCTCCCCAAGCAAGAACACCGCCCTTCTCCACTGGTTGCCCCGGTCGCATGCACTGATTGCCGCATTGTAGGCCAGAACCTGTGCTTCCAGTCGTCTGACCTGGAGCTCTCCCAGAAGCTGCAGGGCCATCTCCCACTTTCCACCCCTTCCCAGCGCACTGATCCCAGTGGTCTGCACCACAGGTGACAGCTCCAAACCCCTATGCCCCATCCTCTGCAGAAGTCCTAAGGCCTGTTGCCACTCCGAAGCCTTGGCGCAGGCATCCAAAGCTGTGCTGTAGGTCACCACGGTTGGCTGAAGCCAACCCTCCAGGTCCACAAGAAGCCACAGGGCATGCTGCCATCCTTGGTAGAGAACAGCACTTAGGGGACAGGAAATACAGTAGCTGCATCTCCCAATTTTTGCATACCCTGGCTGCTTGGAATCCAAAAGCTTCCCCAGCCCAAGCGAGCTGCGCCGTTCCTGCGCATAGGCCTTGAGCACCTGTGTCTGGGCCACCACCTCCTTGTCAAGTGCCATAAGCAAGCCACGCACCCATTCGCCGCCTCAGCCCAGGAACCAGGATACTCCCGGAACCGCTCAGGCTCAGCCTGGGTTGCTGTTAAGGAACTTGATTTAAACCATATTATCCCCCTATAATGGAGAATCAAATGGAAAAGAAAGTGGAAAGTGAAATGGAAACTGGCGAAATATAGCGACTTAAGGAACTTTATTCAAGTTACTACATTTGGGAAACCCTATAAATTACTATATATATATATGCCCATTATCGTAACTAAAGCTAAGTTCCTTAACAGCAACCCAGCAGCGGGCAACAGGCCTTAATAGGCCCCGGCCATGTCAAAGAGGCCTTGAACGCCACAGCGACTAGGCAAGCTTGCCTGCAGTCACAGGCTGCCTCTCTGCACCGGCCGCTCCTTCCTGGCCCCCCTTGCGTAGATTTTGGCTCAGCCCATCCTGGGTAGGCTCCAGGCGAAAGCCTCCATGAAAGCATCATGGGAACGCAGGCAGTGGCCACATGTCCTACCATCAAACATTCCCCATAATGGAATGATCTTATGATTGTATTGAAGGATGTGAATGCGGCCGAAGCTTGAACAGCTGAGCTGCAACAGATTACCACTGCCAGGCCATTTCCACATGAGCCATTGTCTAAACTCCTAGTATCCCCCTTAATAGCCCCTATAGTAGTTCCCTATATAATCCCCTATAATCCCCCTTTAAGGAGTTTAGACTATGGCTCACATCAAGTCGTCTGCAAGAGATGTGAAAGGCTCCCAGCTCCCAGCTGTGTCTAAGCACAAGTGTACCCTCTGCAGCAGCTGATGCAGCGGATTCCGTGGAATCCAGCTAGTGCCAAGAAAGGAGCTGAGGGCCCTGGAAGCTACTACGAAGAGGCATATAGGACCTGTCTCAAAATTGCATGACCTTTGGCAACGCCAGGGTTATACGGGGATTAGGGTGTGCCTACTAGGGGCTCCAGAAGAAATATTCCTGAAACCTTCATATCAGCAAGCAACACGGTTGCCTTGCAGAGGCAATGATTCGGAAGGCTGTCACGCTTCACACAATAAGTCCGAAATACCTGAAATGGGTGCAGGACCCTGTCAGAGATGGTTCTACCTGCTGTCAATCCAGAATTTTGGGCCATGAGCCCCTCTCAACCCCCGAACCCTTTACTCTACATCAAACCCTGTGAGGGCTCACCCGAACACTTGACCGTCTTAACCTCCAAACTCTCTTGCATACCCTGCATAAAGCCACAAACCAACATGGATCCTCTGAAAGAGCTTTGTGCGCCTTTTTTCAGAAGGATTTCATGCTAGCTTAATAACCCTACATGACGGTATAAAAGCCGCATCTTAAAATACAACACTATATAACCTCGCAAAACCTGTCTTTTGTAACAGAAAACTGCTTGAGAGATATACATATGTATACATATATATATATAAGTGTGTGTATATGTTCAGAAACATAACCCTGAGGAAGCCCCATATGAGCTATAGTCTAAACTCCTAGTATCCCCCTTAATATCCCCTAGAGTAGTCCCCTATATAATCCCCTATATAACCCGCCTTTAAGGAGTTTAGACTATTG